ATTGGGGTGAATTGGCCACGGAATGTAAAGAGAGGAAAGCGAATGTGGGAAAGGACTGATTGATAGGGAGAAAGTGGGAAGGTCAAGGGAGTAGATATCTTGAGTTGTAGGTAGGTGAGAGGGTGAGGGAAAAACTGGGTAAAAAGAGGAATAATAGGGTTTTTTTTAATTGCTTTATTGAAATGCTATGCAAGTTACCATTTAAATATACAATTCTGTACTCGTTAGTATATTCTCAGGTATATGTGGCCATCATCACAGTTTCAGAACATTTTTATCACCTCAGAAAGAAACCCTGTATTCTTTATTTATCACCCCTGTCCCAGTTCCTCAATACGCATCTCTACCAGCCCTAAGCAACCACAAGTCTACTTTCTGTGTCTAGAGATTTCCCCATTCTGGAATTTTATATGAATGGAATCATATAATATATGGACTCTTGTGGCTGGCTTCATTCACTTAGCATGTTTCCAAATTGTAGCATGTATCAGTACTTCACTCCTTTTTCTGGGTGAATGAGATTCCATTGTGTGGATATGCCACATTTTGTTTACCCGTCCATCCATTGACAGACATTCAGGTTTCTAATTTTTTGTTACTAATGTGCAAGTTGTTGTGTGGACATACATTTACGTTTTTCTTGGGTATGTACCTAGGAATGGAATTGCTGAGTCGTATGGTAACCCCTGAATTGTTTGAGGAACTGCCAAACTGTTTTTCAAAGTAGCTGTACCAGTTTACATTCCCAAAAGCAGTATATGGGGAATCTAATTTCTCCACATACTAAACAGCCCTTGTTATTGTCTTGATTTTTTTTTTTTTAATCCTCACCAAAGGACATGCTTATTGATTTTTAGGGGTGGGGGGAGAGCATGAGAAAGAGAAAGAAACATTGATTGGTTGCCTCCCATACATGCTCCAGCTGGGGACAGAACATGCAACCTAGGTATGCGCTCTGATTAGGAATTGAACCCATGACCTTTCAGTTTATGAGACGAAACCCTAACCAACAGGCTTTCTTGTTTTTTTTATTCTAGCCATCTTAGTAAATGTAAAATGGTATCTCATTTTTATTTACATTTCCAGGATGACTGATGATGTTGAGCATTTTTTTCTTGTGCTTATCAGCCAATTTGCTACTTCTTGGAAAAATGGTGATTCTGATACTTTGTCCATTTTTAAATGGGGTTGTCTTTGTACTGTTAAGTTGTAAGGGTTTTTTAATATATTTTAGATGCAAGGTCCTTATCAGATACATGGTTTACAAATACTTTCCTATTCTGCGGGTTATCTTTTCATTTTCTTGGTAGTGTAAGGTTTTAATTTTGAAGGTCAGTATATGTTTTTTCTTTTGTTGCTTGTGCTTTTGCTCTTGTGTCTAAGAAGGCTTTGTTGAATCCATGCCAAATCCAAAGTTGTGAAGGTTAACTCCTATGTTTTCTTCAAAGAGTTTCATAGTTTTAGTTCTTACATTTAGGTCTTTTTGAGTTAATTTTTGTATACGGAGTGAGATAAGGGTCTAACTTCATTCTTTTAAATGTGGCAGTTTTGACCAAAGTCTAGGGTATTTAAATTTAAGATTTAAAAAATGGATCAAGTTTACTTTAAAACCTACATAGCGGTACCAAGTATCGACGTTTTATGAGAGTTTGAGCCAAACTGGCCACATATGCTAGGGAGCAAGATGTCAAATGCTTCTTTTATGCCTTTGAAGTTAAGGAGGGAAAGGAAGGAAGATCACATGGAAGTGGGGGGAAAGGCAAGACGGGGATTGGATTACAGGATAGTGAACAAGATTGTGTGCTCCCTTGAGGTTGCTTATTCAGAGGTGTGTTAACGTAGATGTACAGAAACAATGGACAGGGCTTGCTTAAGGCAAAGGTAAACCTTTTACTCAAGAAGTTATAGACCTGAGGTGTGACTACCCACCATGATCTGCCTTTAGGAACTTACGATCAGTTCACCTTGTGAGGTTACTTTCCATAGAACCCCTTCTTTCATCCACACAGGTAAGACTGGTCTGGAGTGTGGCCATGGAAATGGATGCCTGAAGTGGAGGTGAAGAATGTGAACTCATTGCTGAAGGCTTCAAGTGAAGGACAGGGTGGGCCCAGGCAGGGGCATGGAGGTATAGCCAGGTGATAGGAGCCCCAGAGGAACAGGAGTTTAAAATGAGGCTGGAGGAGATATTGAAAACAAGGAAGACACCAACTCCACCCTTTATTCTGAAATACGTGGGAGTGGAAGGATGAGCCAAAACCTCCACAGTGAGAATTCAGCTAGGGAAGCAGTTGCTTCATGGGAGAGTTAGGCTTTGAAGTTGGGAACTGTGTACACTGAAGTGGTGGAATCAGCAGTAGGGGAGTTTGTCTCTGGAAAAGGGTTTCTCGTTTGTTTGTTTGTTTTTAAGATTTTACTTATTTATTTTTAGAGAGAGTAGAAGGGAAGGAGAAAACCATCGTTCAATTGCCTTTCACATGTCCTCAACCTGGGACCTGGCCCACAATGCAGATATGTACCCTGGCCGGGAATCAAACCGCAACCTTTTGATTCATAGACTGGCGCTCAATCCACTGAGCCACACCAGCCAGGGCCAGAAAAGTGTTTTGATGTCAGCCCTCAGCCAAAACAGCGTGGTGACCTTAGGATAGCACTTTTTTTTTTTTTTTTTGCAAATTCTCATCTGAGGATATGTTTATTGGTTTGAGAGAGAGAACGCCCATCACTTGCCTCCTGTACGTGCCCCGACTGGGGATTAAACCTGCAACCTTTTGGGGTTCAAGGCAACGCTCCAACTGACTGAGCCACCTGGTCAGGGCTGGGGTAGCACTTTTGCTTCAGTTAGACCAGACTCTGACTCTGATTTGGAATATCCTCAGCACTATGCCATTTGTACCTTTCTGTTGTGCCCTGGAAACAAAATTCGTTTCTCATTTGGAATAAAAGAGTTGCCTCATTTGATGTTCCACCACTAGATTAGATGAGATAGAGCATAAAAACAAACTTTCCTCATTAATTGTGCTGATACTATTTTAAGATGTTTGAATTCAGTCAGTGTGTGTGTGGGTGTGTGATGAATTAAAGTCACGTATACACACCAAGTAATATTCTTGCAATTTCTGCTGCAGAACTAGCAGGGAAAATAGGACCAAGGAAGGAACTAAATGATTACCACCTACCCATCCCCATCTCAAGAGGAGGGAAAACTTATGATTGAGGCAAAATGGGAAGAATCAAGGGCAGCTGATAGTTAAGAAGCACTGAGTAAAGCCTTGATTCTCACAGCGTGCATGGGGTCAAACAGTCTTCCTCAGTTCTGTAGGTTTCATACTAGTATCACCTTCCTGATAATCTAACCCAAAAGACTTAAAGACCAAAATACCCAGAGGCTGAACAGGGGGAAAATGATGAAGAGAAATTAATTGGCTTATCTGAGCTAAGCAGGCTGACTCAGCTCTGTTTGGAGAAAGGGCAGAAACCTAGTGCTTCTTGCTTCATCAGGAACCTCACAGTGAGTCTCCGATCAGACTGCTGAGGCCAGCCTGGGTTGGAGTTACAAAAAGGTCTGGTTCGGGTCAAGTGTCGGACTCAGTGGGAGAACAAGAGCAGTTACACACATATTTAACAGGTGGCAGAGGTGTCTTCATACCCTGACACGTTAACCCAGCAATGGAGACCAGACCACCTTCCCTTGAACTCATGTCTTTGTGTTCTCACAGTTCTCTAATCCTACCCCCCTAGCTTACAGCTTTGCCTTCTTAGGTCCAAATCCTGGGAGGACAAGAAGACAAGAGTAACTCTCATCTTCTTAGCATGAGCCTTAGCTGCCCCTTTTCCCTGCCTAGAATTAGCTGCATCCCTATTAAAGATGGAATTCTTGTTCTCTAAGGTTTCCCAATTTCAAATTTTATGATTATGTAATTTTGGACATTGTTACCTGTTAAGGGGATCTCATGTTGCAGAAAATTTAGTGTGCATGTCATAGACATCAAAAATGCTAGCCACTGTTTTCCAGCTTGAGGGTTAATAGCGCCTTGGGAAGCCATAGATAGAGTTGGGGGAAGTTTGCAAATCCACTAGCTCAGCTCTCCTTATCTGTAGACTGACTTTACATCTCTCACCTTTACATACTACTATTTTGAGTATGTAAAAATTAACAAAATGTAAGTTTAAAGTAGTATTGAATATACAGTAGTTGTTTGTCATTATATGTTTTCTTAGTGGAACTACTGAGCCTCTGTCTCAGAGAGAGCCATGAAAAGTTTAGATCCTAAAAAGGGGTTCACATAATCTAAACTGTTGGGTTAGAATCTCTGTTCTAAGCCATTTTGAGTTGAGAAAATTCACAACTTGAGTTACAGCATAGTTATTAGGCACTGTATGTTTAAGAGACAATTCATGGAGCAGGAGAGAAACTATCAGCACAGATTAAGCTCTTTCTGTGTGTAAGGTGCTTTACTGCCTCCCATCCATATTCCCTGGGCTCCTTCCCCAGAGGCTGCCACTGATTGCATATCTTCCTGGAAAGCTTATATGGAGCCGTATGTGTGAATATATTTTATGTGATTTTGTTTTCACAGTGCCCTTATATTCTAGAAATTTTAGTAAAAATATTCTCTAGAAAATTTAGTAAGAATATTGATATGCTTGCCTTTTTTTTTTGTTTTTTGTTTTTTTTTTAATTCTAGAGAGAGGGGAAGGGTGGGAGAAAGTGAGGGAGAGAAACATTGATGAGAGAGAGAAACATAAATCGGTTGCCTTTTGCACATACCCTGACTGGGGACTGAATCTGCAACCCAAGCATATGCCCTGACCAGGAATTGAACCCACAACCTTTCGGTTTGCAGGATGACACCCAATCAACTGAGCCACACCAGCCAGGGCGATATGTTTGCTTTTAATTCTTAACTTCCTTAGAAAATGTTTTCCTAAAGAATGGAAAATTTTAAAATGCACCTTTCGGATCTTACCTCCATAGTTGACAGGGAGACTTTTTTCAGGGCGAAGAAGGGGAGTACAGTGAAGAAGAAAACTCCAAAGTAGAGTTGAAATCAGAAGCCAATGATGCAGCTAATTCTTCAGCGAAAGAAGAGAAGGGAGAAGAAAAGCCTGACTCCAAAGGCACTGTGACAGGAGAGAGGCAGAGTGGGGACGGACAGGTCAGTACCCACCAAAGGCCTCCATTTTGGGGGCTGGAAGAGGGGCCCTCAGCCTTGGAGGGAGTAAGGAAGCCTTTGCCTGTCCTTCAGGAGAGCACAGAGCCCGTGGAGAACAAAGTGCCCAAGCACTTGGATGACGACGAAGATCGGAAGAACCCAGCGTACATACCACGGAAAGGGCTCTTCTTCGAGCACGACCTTCGAGGGCAAACTCAGGAGGAGGAAGTCAGGTAGTAGCCACTTGCTGCTGCTGTTTAGTGTGTACTTAGTGTTTCGCGTGTGCTAGGTGCTTTGCTAAGTGCTTTGTGTTTTGCTTACCACTCACAACATTTTTAAGGTTAGTGTTACCTCTTGTACAAATGAGGAAAGCGAGGCTTAGAATATTTGGTAACTCTTGGTGCAGCAGCTAGGATCCACACCTACACTGCCGCTCCCTTTCTTAACCTGGGGCTCAAGGCCTCTGCGGTACGAAGGACTTGCATGGGCTGCCTTACAGGAAAGAAGTGTTTTCAAGGGGCCAAGTAGTTTGAAGCGAAATCCTTCCTTGTTTCTATTCCTGTTTCACTTGAGCCCGGTAGGCCCTGAGGTGTTACGATGCACTCTGGCTTTTGGGAGACCTGTTTTGTACAGTCTATCAGGGGAGATGGAGAGACTACCTGAAGTTCCTTCTGTTTCCCTGCCCAACGCTGTTGTTTCGTAAACGTCTTTACTTGCCAGATTCTGCCTACCTAAGACACTTTTTCATGGTTTTATCCAGACCCAAGGGGCGTCAGCGAAAGCTGTGGAAAGATGAGGGTCGCTGGGAGCATGACAAGTTCCGAGAAGACGAACAGGCCCCGAAGTCCCGACAAGAGCTCATTGCTCTTTATGGATACGACATCCGCTCAGCTCACAATCCTGATGACATTAAACCCCGAAGAGTCCGGAAACCTAGGTGAGGAAATTTTGGAATCTAGACTATTGGTATTTTAGCAAGAATTTTGCTTTTTAAAATACCATTCCAGCAAGTGATTGAATGGGTGAGAAATATGGGAAGTCTTCGTGACCCCCAGTTTAAGACTTTTCTGTTCCATTTATTCAGGTTTGGGAGTCCTCCACAAAGAGATCCAAACTGGACTGGTGAGCGGCCAAACAAGCCTTATCGCCACCAGGGTCCTGGGGGCACCCTACCACCAAGGACATTTATCAACAGGAAAGCTGCAGGTACTGGCCGCATGTCTGGTCCCAGGAATTACTCTCGATCTGGTGGCTTCAAGGAAGGTCGTGCTGGATTTAGGCCTCTGGAGGCCGGTGGGCAGCATGGTGGCCGGTCCGGTGAGACTGTTAAACATGAGAGTAGTTACCGGTCACGACGCCTGGAACAGACTCCTGTGCGGGACCCATCTCCAGAAGCAGATGCTCAAGTGCTTGGCAGTCCTGAGAAGGAAGAGGCAGCCTCAGAGATCCCAGCTCCTGCTGCTGACACTGCACCACCACCCCCCGACAGGCCTGTTGAGAAGAAATCCTATTCCCGGGCAAGAAGAACCAGAATCAAAGCTGGAGACGCAGTCAAGGTAGCAGAGGAGGTGCCTCCTCCCCCTGAAGGGCTGACCCCAGCACCTCAAGTCCCAGAAACTACTCCTCCTCCACCTGCTAAGACTGGGAACTGGGAAGCTCCAGTGGATTCTACCACAGGTGGGCTTGAGCAAGATGTGGCCCAACTAAACATAGCAGAACAGAATTGGAATCCAGGACAACCTTCATTCCTACAACCACGTGAACTTCGGGGTAGGTACCTTAGGGTTATAACCAGATTTTTTTTTCTTTGCATCATTGGGTTTGGGAGCATGGGGCTTAAGTCTCTCAGGGATGTGGTGTCTGACAAAAAACAGATTCCTAGGTATATTCATCCAAGGACCTCAGAGCAGTTTTATCTGTTACCTAAGACTAACCCACTGGTTTACCTCTGTGAACCGGTTGGTCGCCATGTGAACTGGTAGTGAGCTCCTGGGTACAGGGTCCTTTACCACTCTCTATAGAAAAGTGGAAGAAGAAGGTGGCAGTGTTTTCATTATTTGAACTCACGGTTAAAGTTTGAAGGCAGAAACTCATTCATTTGAATTTGGATGAGAATCTTCTAATCTCTTTGAGAGGAAAGTCTTTCTAATTTCCTTAATTTTCTAGAGCCAGGCTGCCCAAAAGAACTTTCTGTAATGGTGGTGCTTTTGAATACTCGTAACATAGCCAAGGTGTCTGAGTAACTGAAGTTTTCATTCCGTTCCATTCCATTCCATTCCATTTATTTATTTAAAAGGTTTTATTTTTTAGAGAGAAGGGAAGGGAGGGAGAAAGAGGGAGAGAAACATCAATCAGTTGCCTACACCCTCAACTGGGGACCTCACATGCAACTCAGGCATATGTGCTGACTGGGAATCGAACCAGTGACTTTTTGGTGTGCAGGCCAGCGCTCTATCCACTGAGCCATACCAGCCAGGGCTGACTTTAAATTTTAATCGAAGTTTAAATAGCCACACATGTGACTAGTAGATATATTGGACATCATGGTTCTAGAGACTAGAACCTATCTACCACCCATTTTGCCCATCTTCAGTCTTCCTCCAACCAGATAGATAAAAGGACCTTTTCCTTAGTTTCTGAAATCTCATTTGAATTTAAAGGTTGGAAATCCTCATGTAGACCGAGTTACAGCATCCTTCTCTGATGTGCGTGGTTTTTAAACAGCATAAACCAGTGCAGCCTAAACTGAACCTGCAGCTGCTCTTTGGATCAAGGAGCATACCCTTCTACTGATACCTTATTATAATTGGAAGGCAGTCTCTAGAATGTAATTTTTTTTTTGTTCTGAGTCATTTTCAGCTAGAGGGGAATTTCTTCCCAAACTTCCAGGCCAGACCTCAGTGGCCAGAAATAATCAGGTAGATTTACAGAATATCCCTCACTGTCCAGTTGTTGCTCAGAAACTTTTGGGCTGAGATTTTTTTTTTACTGTGGTTGATAATGTAATGTGGTAATTGTGACCTACAAGGGATTCTGCACAGGAAGGCATTTTGTGGGCAATCTTGAACTTGTATTTTCTCACTGAAATAATTTTTTTCATGTTCAAAGGTGTTATTGCTATATTCAAGTAATGGTATTAAGGTGATGGTCAGTGGAAGCAAATTTCCACACTGGTGGCATTGGCAGGAAGCAGAGATAGTTTAAAAGGGATTTTGTTAGGGTTTTTTTTGTTTGTTTGTTTTTGTTTTTGTTTTAATTAAATTTTTTTTAAAGATTTTATTTATTTGTTTTAGATAGAGGGGAAGGGAGGGAGAAAGAGAGGGAGAGAAACATCAATGCATAGCTAGCTGCCTCTCATGTGTCCCCTACTGGAGACCTAACCTGGCCAGCAACCCAGGCATGTGCTCTGACTGGGAATCGAACCAGCGACCCTTTAGTTCGCAGGCCAGTGCTCAGTCCACTGAGGTACACCAGCCATGGCTAAAAAAATTTTTATTTAAAGATTTTATGTATTTATTTTTAGAGAGGAAGGGAGGGAGAAGGGTAGAGAACATTGGTGTGAGAAATGTCTATTGGTTACCTCTTGCACATCCCCACCATGAACCAGGCCCTCAACCCAGGCATGTGCCCTGACTGGTGATCAAACCATAACCTTTCAGTTTGGAGGCCAGCACTCAATCCACTAGCCACACCTGCCAGAGCAGGATTTCATTAGTTTAAAAGCAGAAAGCCATTTACTGTGTTGGATTCTTCAGCCTGTCCTTTTCTTGATGGTATCTTTGAGTCTCACTGCTGTCTGTCTGCTCTGCAGGGGTGACTTTTCTGGTTTATTACAGGAATGCACAACCACATACACATGGGAGCAGGACCTCCTCCTCAGTTCAACCGGATGGAAGAAATGGTACAGAAGGGGAAAGATATAGATGGGGGGTGCATGTAATAGCTTTTTTTTTTTTTAAGATTTCATTTATTTATTTTTAGAGAGGGAAGGGAGGGAGATATATATATATATATATATATAGAGAGAGAGAGAGAGAGAGAGAGAGAGAGAGAGAGAGAGAGAGAAACATCAATGTGTGGTTGCTGGGGGTTATGGCCTGCAACCCAGGCATGTACCCTGGCTGGGAATTGAACCTGGGACACTTTGGTTCCCAGCCCGTGCGCAATCCACTGAGCTACGCCAGCCAGGGCTGCAAATATTTTTTAAAGACATGCCACATACAAAGTCCCACCTAAAGGGGGGTGGGGACTCAAACGAGAGTCGGCCATCTAGAAGTCTGCTCGCTCAGGCCTGTTTCTTTATTTCAGAGTGTGCAGGGTGGGCGAGCCAAGCGCTATTCATCTCAGCGGCAGAGACCTGTGCCCGAGCCTCCTGCCCCCCCTGTGCATATCAGCATCATGGAGGGCCATTACTATGATCCACGTGAGTTCTCCCTCATACTTGGGGTATCTTTTTTGGCACTTTGAAGCAAACTAAGAGACCAGCCTCCTGCCTCCTGAATTTTTCCATTCTGACTTCTCACAGTAGTTATTGTCTGGTTGCTGTTTTCTTCACATGGAAAATCGAGAACATTCTCTTAAAGGGTTTGGGGGACAGGGAGATTTGTCCATGTGATGTGAAGACTGAGAATTTATGAGAATCCCAATGTGATATCCTACAGTGCAGTTCCAGGGACCAATCTATACCCATGGTGACAGCCCTGCCCCACTGCCTCCTCAGGGCATGATTGTGCAGCCAGAAATGCACCTTCCCCACCCAGGTAAGCATTGCACCTCTCCTTGTATGCTTCCAGTACGTGAGTAGGTGTGTGGGGTATTTGCAAACCCCTCCTCCTGAGCTCTGTGCTGCTTGCCTATGAGACTGGCCACTCTGACTGCCTGGGCAACAAACCTCTAGGGGTCCTCCTGAGGACTTTCATCCTGAGCCTGTTTATACTGGAAATGCTGTTGTTTCTATTTCAATTTCTGTTTTCCTCTCCTTATTCAGGTTTACATCCCCATCAGACACCAGCGCCCCTGCCCAATCCGGGCCTCTATCCCCCACCAGTTTCCATGTCTCCAGGACAGCCACCGCCTCAGCAGTTGCTTGCTCCTACTTACTTCTCTGCTCCAGGAGTGATGAATTTTGGTAATCCCAGTTACCCTTATGCTCCGGGGGCACTGCCTCCCCCGCCACCTCCTCATCTATATCCTAATACACAGGTAAGATGGCTAATGAGCAGACTTTTATAGGTACACGTTCTTGAAATCGAACAGGAATGTGGTATGGGGAGAATGCTTAAGAAATATGAGAGAAAACTTCAGTGCCACTGATTTGCATGTGGCTCCAGGATGCCTCTTGGTGGTCAGGAGCTGGAAATGCAGCTTATGTAATACCCATTATCTACTTACTCTCCTTCATTTTTTAAATGGTGTTTCATTTAAGTGTTTGGTATGTCTTAGGTGGCCATTTATTCAGCTGCATAAAGACACTGTATTCTATTTGCAGTCCTACCTGTCCCTGTGCTGCTCAACTCCCAGTAGGTTGAAATCATCTGGTATCCAGAGTGTCACTGCTGAGCTCAGCCATTTGTCAGCCGATGATAGGAATTAGAGGACGCTGGGCCGTGCTTTGAAGAAGCAGGAACCAGAGCATAATTAGGACATACTAAGACAGAAATGAGGAATCATTTTATTTTTAAGGAGGGCAGCTTAGAGGTTTAAAAAATTATAAATTCCCCAGTTCTTCTGTTTTTGTGCCTGAATAACATTTTTGGTCACAGTTTACAGTTAGATTCCATTCGAATAACATTTTTTGTCACAGTTTAGATGAATTCCTAACTTTCAGTTCTGTCTTACTGGGGTACCCAGGCCCCATCACAGGTATACGGAGGAGTGACTTACTACAACCCGGCCCAGCAGCAGGTGCAGCCAAAGCCCTCCCCACCCCGGAGGACCCCCCAGCCCGTCACCATCAAGCCCCCCCCACCTGAGGTATGAGAGCTCCTTCCCCCACTTCAGGCTGCGTGTCATGTCCGAGGGCTTTCTCTTTCTTCAGGAGATTTCCTCCTGTTCTGTTTCCTCCTGTTTCCTCCTGTGTTTCTGTGGAAACACTCATTTGGTTTGGTTTTGTTTTAAACGACTTAATAACAAATTCTAACTTTATTATTTCAGGTTGTAAGCAGGGGTTCCAGTTAATACGAGTTTCTGAATATTTTAAATCTAACACGATATAAAAGTAAGTGTACAACTTAGTATGTCTCTTACAACATTTTTAAAACTAATGCTCATGCTTGCTTGCTTAACAAACAGTTGCCTCATTGATGCTTTAAGTTGTCATCATGAGTTATTTTGTGTGGGGTCTGGGGTGCTTAAAGGAGTCCCAGAATTTGCCAGTTTTTTTGTTTTGCAGTTGCATTGAGCAGGGTTTAAGTAGAAACCATCTTAATGTGACAGAATTTCATTTGGGAAGCTGCAAGGAAAAAATACAGGAGGGCATTTTTTACTAAGGGAAAAAGGAAATCTAAATTTGAGGTGAAGAGCCTTAAAAAAACAAATCCTACCATTTGCAACAGCATGGATGGACCTAGAGGGTATTATGCTAAGTGGAGTAAGTCAGTCAGAAAAGGACAAATACTGTATGATTTCATTTATATGTGGAATCTAAAGAACAAAATGAAATTGAAACAGACTCATGGATACAGAGAGCAGACTGATGGTTGCCAGAGGGGAGAGGGGCCTGAGACCTGCGTGGAAAGGGTCGAGGGACTGCCAGTTAAAGGTTGGAAGTCACAGAGTGGCCGTGGGGACTGGAAAGTGTGGCACAGGGAACACAGCCACTGCTGTGGGAACACTGCGTGTGGCACCAGGTGGGCACTGGAAATACCAGGGGGAACACCGTGTGAAGTGTTTGATTGTCTAACCGCTCTGCTGAGCACCTGAAACAATACAAAGTAGTGTTGAATGTAAGCTGTAATTGAAAAATAAAAACAATTATATATATTTCAGAAATTGAGGTGTTAGAGCAGAGCCAATTCTAAAGGTCATGGAGGAGAAAGACCGCGGGAGTTTTGTTTTTTTAGGGACATTACTTTAAAACACATTGTTTAGAATGTGGCTTTTTGCAGACAACTTGTAAATGACCGGAGGGCCCACTAACACTTTGGTGGTTCTTCCCCTTTCCCCACCCCTGTCAGAACTGCAGGGGCGAGGGCCCAGGAAAGAAGAGACACGCAGCCAGCTGTTTACTACCAGGAGGGCTTCAACGGTGGGGGGCGCCCCCGCCAGGAAGCAGCTGAATGAAGAGGACCCCTGCCTTCCTATGAGGATAAGGTCTGATACAGCGAGAAAGGGAGACACAAGCGGACTTCCACCCGTTTCCACTCTGCACTTGAGTGAGCCGTGCTCGGGGGAGCGGAGGCCCGGACTGCCCGGACCACCGCGTCTGCGTCTGCGTCTGGAAGCCCAGGTTTTCGGCTCTTCTTCACTTTGTCCTGGGAAACTTTGCTTCTCCCAGGGAAGCTCCTTCCTGTTTGTTTTGTTTTCTAAGATGTTTGTTTTTTAAAGCCTGGCTTGTTACTCTTAAATTAATATTCTTTAGTTTCTCCTTCTTTGTCTCTCTGTCTCTCTCTCTCTGCCTTTAAATGAGACAAGTTTATTTTTCTGGTTTACTGCCTTCTCTGGTTCCCTTTTGGTTCTTCCCTGCAACCCAGATCATTGAGAATTTACCAGCTGAGCTGGTCTTTTCCCACCAAGTCTGCAGAGGTGGCCTTTCACTTTTGGTTGGCCTGTGTTATTGTATACATGGATTCTCTTAACTCTTCAAAACTCAAAGTTTGTGGTAGGAGTCTTTCTTCTTGACTTGGTGGACTTCGGGCCTCTACTGAGAGCAAAGTCTCTACAGTGGGAAGAGATGGCGAATCAAGTGTTTCTGTGAGAAAGGGAGGGTGGGGTGAGAGCCTTTGCCCCTTAGGGATATGTATTCACAGAGTCCCTAGGGGGTTCAGTCTCCGAGGTAAGTGAAATCAGAGGGCCCTGCTTTTACTTCCATCCCTCCTGCCACACCCCCTTTTCCAGTTGCTGTGGACCAATGTATCTCTCTAGAGGCAAATACTATCCAGCAAGCAGTCTACCTGCCCTTTATTATTCATGTCTTTCCTGCCACAAGTGTTGTAGATGTTACTACCTTATTCTCCTGTCCTTGCAAACAGAAGAAGATACTGCACCTGGGCTTAAGGCCTAAGGAAGCCAGTCAGTTTGCAGCAAGGGCTCCTTTCCTCCCTGTCCATGGCACTGAACCACTCTCCTGCTGCCTCTGCGGAAGAGGTTCCTGTTACTGCCACACTTGTGTCTGCTGGGTCACCCCAGCACTGGCCACACTTGTGTCTGCTGGGTCACCCCAGCACTTGGCCACGGTCTCTGTCCTCTGTAGAACCTAAGGGAGAAGGTGGCAGCTGTGTCTCTCCCCAAGTTGTGTCACTATTCCTATTCTCTTAAGCAGCTGGCCCGACCACTTTGAGTCATAGGTGTGTGGGGAGGGAGGAGAGGCACTCAAGCTGTAACCCCGAAGGAGGAAATAACTAAGAGATTCTCCCAGAGGTGACCGGTGGTTGTGCCTTTTGTAGGCTGTTCCCTTTGCCTTAAACCTGACAATGTCTCCTCAAGCCTGTGGGCAGCATGCCCAGATTCCCAGACCTTAAGACACTGTGACAGTTGTCTGTTGGTTCACTGTATTTTGTTGCAAGAATTCCTCCATGTGTGTTATTACTGTTTTAAAGGGTACACATTTGTGATGGGTATTGTGACTTGAAGATAATAAAATTTAGACTGTAAACTTGGCTTTTGTGCACGAGTGTTGATTTGAGAAGGAGGGAAAATGACTCCTTGGTTTCCCCAGAGTCAGTCACAGCTTGTACTGGCTCCGACTGGTGCAGTGGAAGCCACAGAGGTGAGGAGCCCCCGTGACACCTCAAGTCTGCCTGTGTTCCCCTTCCGTTACCTTCCCTAGCCACGTTCCGCACAGAGCCCGGGTAGCCTGCCATGCCTTCATTCGGGAGTGTCGGGCAGAAACTAGCGAGGCTCTGCTCACCCACGTGAACATCATGGCCCTCATGCCCGCCTTTGTCTGAAGCAAGCGCGTCTCCCAGGGTGATGTGCCAGATGTCAGTGCAACTGTACTAGGTCCCCGCAGAGGGCGAGGCGCAGGTAGCTGGCTTTCTTGAAAAGGAAAGACTCACGCTGGCACTGAACTATCAGGGACCACAGGCTAAGCGAGAGGCTCGTGTCAGTCTCCGTGCAGGCGGCGAGGACGGGTAATTGAAAGAGCCCCAGCTGTGGCTCATGCTGCCAGGTACCTCTGCCACTTGGCCTCTGATGAGTGCAGGGCAGTTCCTACCTTTGAAGGGACCGTTTACTCCTCCAGATCCTGGGTGGATTCTGAAGTTCACTACAGAAGCTGTCCACAGTGTGGGGGAGCAACTGGATTTCACACGGAGCTGGCAGCACCTGCTCTCGAGCTGCGTAAATCCTTGTGCACTCCGGGCATGGGCCTCGTGGCACATCTTAAAATGACAGTTGGTTTTCCCCTCCACCCTTTGGTGGTGTTGCTGCCGCAGGGTGACCATGACTTTCCTGATCCCCATCCCCAGTTCCTTTTCAGATCATGTCAGTTTGCTTCCCTCCCTCCCCACAGGGTGATGAGTATGGGCCTGATCCGGGGTCCTGCAGAGAGTGCAGCCAGCCTCGGGGTGGGTTACTGGCAGGAGGAATAAGCGTTTTAAGATGCTTCCTCCTCACCCCTGCCTCTTGCTTCCTCAGTTAGATCCCATTGCTCTCTGTTGCCCTGGTAACCGGCTCAGCAAGAAGAAATTCAAGCTCAGCAAAGCCCCCAGGTTCTCTGCCCTCCCAGCCTGCCTCTCAGTGGCCAGGAAAGAGGAGAGTAAGGGGCAGACAGAATTCGCCTTAGGTAGCCTCGCTCCATCCCCTTCTAGAAGTCCACGGTCTTCTCACCCACATCTCCTCACAGTTGCTAATTATACCACCATCTCTCCCTTAGTTTATTCCATGACAGAGTGTAGGTGCCCTGACTGGCCTCGTCCCCTCCAGGGTCAGCACACAGGTCTGCTACCTTGTGGGGGACTCAGAACAGCAAAGATTTGGAATACCAAAGTCTCCCAGCCTCCACAGCCTCCTTGGTTTGGGGGTGTCCCTCTGGGGCAGTGATTTTCAACCCTGGCTATTTGAATTACTTGGAGATCTCTTTAAAAACACCATCAACGTTGGCACCATTTCAGTATCTTTGAGAAGTGCCCCTGGATTCCCGTGTGCAGTTGGGGCAAGTACCACTGCTGTTCAAGGAGGACCATGACTCGGTGTTGGCTTTCCTCTGACTCAAGGTCTTGAACTTAGCCTCTGCCTGATATCCTTGAGTAGTCAAAGGGTCCTGGGGTCTGCTCCCAAAGCTTCCAGTTTCTAGAAGTCTCTCTGCCCCTTTTATTTTCAGCCCCCACATTCTCCACACTCCCCAATTCTTCCTAGCCGACAATCCCAAATCCTGCCCAGAGAGGAGGTTACCAAGGCAACCAGCTTAATCTGGTAACTGTGGCATGTGCTAGGAGTGGAGCCCTCCCCTCTTCTTATTTGGTTCATAAAGTGCTTGGGGAGGTCCAAGCCACTCTAGCCAGTTTCCCCTCTTAACCTCAGAGATATTGGGGTGTCTAATAAAAGGAGCCCAAGACAGTGATACTTGGATCTTTATTCCAGCTTCTTAGCCAAAATGGTGCTCGGTACGTACTGTTCCCTTTCTAAATCCACAAACAGATGGGTGTGCAAGCTCATTTCTGTGAACACATGCTCTAGCATACATAGGGCCAGAGATATGCACACACACCAATGTATGTGTGGTGCACACCCTGTTCAGTTCCACCACCACTCCTAGCCTTCAGCATTCCTGCCCCTGGCTGGTCGGTGTACAGTAAACACGGGTGCGCCCATGTCCAAGGTGCCTCAGCCCATCTGGAACCTGCTGCCACTCCCCAACCTTGTTACCTTAACCTTAATGTGCTCGCACTGAGTGTATCTCTTTACCCACCTCCTCCTCAAGAACAGAATGCTCCTGGCATAGGCATCAGGAATAAGGCTAACTTGGTGTGCAAATTTGGCCCCACTTTCCACACTCCATGGCTGTGTCAGCTCCGGGGGGCTCTCTATGCTTGCTGATGTCAGGTGGTGGCTGGAGCTTGTCACCCACCTCCACTGCCTTGCTTCTTCCTGCTGCCAGCCCGGCTTAGGTGCCCTCGCACTCCTGTTCTCCTCCCCCTTGCCTACCGTCTCTTCTCATCCCAACTAGACCTGCCACAACCTGCTGCTCCCTGCCTGGCTCCTGCCTGCCTGCCAGTACCTGCCCTTCACAGGCCGGGCCCCCACCATCTATTGTGCCCTACCAGAAAGGGCAGATGAGTGCCACCCCCAGGCGAGTGTCAATCCACCTGAGGCCTTCCCAGTCCTTTGTAAAAGAAGAGAGGTAAAGACCACATAGTCCTCTAAGTATGTCAACAGAGCACACCGCCAGGGTTGAGAGCGATCTCTGTAGGCCTCACCTGAGTTCAGGTAGGTGAGTCGAGCATGCAGGCCAGAGACCTGTCCTGGTTCTTTGAAATGGTACTAGAGTCCCTGTAAGCCCCCCAGCCAGGAATTCGTCTCTATTGGTATCGCTCCCTTACCTCGGCCCTTAATTTCTGCGTCTTCTCTGAACCCTCCACCCAATCCTATTCAGCCCCTTACAATCCCATGTGGCCCCAGGATCTGCCCCAACGCCCAAGTTCAAGCCGCGCGCGGCCCAGGGGGCGGGTCCAGGCAGGGCAGAGGAGGAGACTGGGCGGGGACTGGAGGAGGGGGCGCGGTCTCAGTTCTGCCACCTTCCCCGCGGTCAGGAGCGCCGCCACCGCTGCCGCCGCGTCCTCTCAGCCTTGCGCTCCGCCCGCTGCCTCTTGTCGCCGCAGCCCGGCCCAGGAGCGCAGAGCCTGGGCACCAGCCCCGCAGCCTACCCACCCTTCGGGCTGTGTGACCGCTGCAGCCGGCATGGGGGGCCTCTAAGGACTGGCACCCCTTCCCTCTGGCACCTCCCCCCGGCCACTGGCCACTGGCCACTGGACTCCGGCCAGCGAGCCTCGGGCACCTCTGGCCCCCAGTCCGGCGCCTGGCACGGCCCTCCACTCTGCCCCTCCGGCTCTGAGCATCGTGTCCCCGCCCCCCCGCCCGCGCCTGGGACACCTAGGTCCCCCGGCGGCCCCCAGAAGAGGGGCGGGCGGGGGGGGGGGCATGAAGCCGCTGGAGAAATTTCTGAAGAAGCAAACGTCGCAGCTGGCGGGGCGAACGGTGGCGGGAGGTCCCGGCGGGGGTCCGGGGAGCTGCGGCGGGCCCGGAGGGGGTGGGGGGCCTGGCGGGGGCGGCGGTCCAGCCGGGGGACCGAGGCCACTGCAGCGGCGTCAGAGCGTGTCTCGCCTGCTGCTCCCAGCTTTCCTTCGCGAGCCCCCCGCGGAGCCAGGGCTGGAGCCGCCCACCGAGGAAGAAGGTGGAGAGCCGGTGGGGGTCACGGAGGAGCCCGGCAGCGGGGGACCCTGTTGGCTGCAGTTAGAGGAGGTGCCAGGGCCCGGGCCGCTCGGGGGCGGGGGACCCCTGCGCTCCCCTTCTTCGCACTCCTCGGATGAGCTGTCCCCGGGTGAGCCCCTGACTTCCCCACCCTGGGCCCCCCTGGGCGCCCCCGAGCGGCCGGAGCATCTTCTGAACCGGGTTCTGCAGCGGCTGGCCGGGGGGGCCACCAGGGACAGCGCCGCCTCAGGTAAGGAGTCGGCTAGCTCATCCATCCCGGAGTAGGGGGTTGCCCCCTGGGTCCTCTTCCATGCCCTTGGAACGTGGGGTGACGCTATGCTGGAGCCTCGCTGTGGGGTTGAGTGGGCAGCTGAAGTGGGGTAGGGACTCATCTGAGGAACAGACCCTTCCGCTGAAGGGAAGCGGCAGTGCCACCTCGCTCCCTGTAGCAGCCTCACCCACAGACCAACCTCTGTCTCTCCTTAAGCCACCTTTCCTTTCCCCTGGATATCTTAGCCGTAGTCTCTTGGGTCCCTGATGTTGGTTACCTCCTTCTGAGGCCCCAAATTAGGGCCTGACACACTAAGATGGAAGCTGCCCGGAACAGCCCGTGCCCCCCTCCCCCCACGGAGGTGCCCGAGCCTGAAAGACCTTCCAGGAGTCCCCGACTCTGTATAGAAACCCAGGGCAGAGGGCTGGCCCACTCTGTGGGGCAGCGCCAGACAGGCACAGGGCCCGAGCTGGCTTTGGGGCTCTGGCAAAGGAATTCATTGTCCTTAGCAGCTTGGGGGGTGGGGGGAGGAGGTGCTCTAGTTGGGGGCTGACTCAGAGGTGTTGTTGAGGTGGCCCGGCAGACACCAACGTCTGGGGGGGGGTGGTCTGAGCCTTTCCAACTCCTACCCTTCCCCTGGCAAGCCTCAGCACATGGCCTCTTTCAAAAAAAAATAACCACACCCTGAGAGGCTTATTCCCTAAATGATGATGCTATTTCACCACTCCCCACCAGCACCCCTACAAGGGGGCCTGGAGGAAACCGAGGCCCCAAAATGCTGGCTAGGTGCTGAGGAAGAAGAGCTGCGGGTCCTTAGGTCTAGTTCTCGTCGTGTCGCGAAGCACAGTGGGGTCTGGTGACTGGGAGCCCTGGCTGAGACTTTCAAGGCAGGGGTTTCCTTCTGTGTTCCCAGACCTGAGCAGGGAGCCCCAGTCTAGGTGTGTGGAAGAGGGTTCCACTGCCCTAGACTTTTCTGGA